AGTGTTCTTTGTCATGGAAGTATCTTATTTTTCCGTCCATTTTGAAAGAGAGTTTTGCATGATACATCAGTCTTGGTTGTAGGTTGTTTTCTTTTATGACTTGAAATACCTCACTCCAGGCTCTCCTTGACCTGAGAGTTTGTGTTGAAAAGTCTGCTGTGCTTCTGATGGGCTTTCCTTTGCATGTGATTTGTTTCTTTTCTCTTACTGCTTGTAGTATTTTGTTCTTCTGTTGGGTTTCTGGGATCTTGATTATTATATGTCTGGGTGTAGATTTTTTTGATCATGGCTAGTTGGTGTCCTATATGCCTCGCTTATCTGTATGTTTAATTCTTCCCCTCTTGTTTGGGAAGTTTTCTGTCATTAATTCTTTGAACAGCTTTTTTAAGTCATTTGCATTTTCTCCTGGTACTTCATGGATACCTATCAGTCTTATGTTATTCTTCTTTGCATCATCTAGGAGTTATTGGATCGATTTCTCATGCTCCCTTACTATTTTTAAGAGACCTCTCTTTTCATGGTCACTGTCTGCTATCCTATCTTCTATATCTAAGATTCTATCTTCGCAATCTTTTATTCTGTTGCATACGCTTTCAATAGAGTTTTTAATCTCCTGGATATCCGTTTGAATCTGTTTAATGGATTCCATTTCTTTCCTATGTTGGGTGTTCATTGTTTCCATTTCTTTCTTATGCTGGACCTTCATGGCTTCTATTATGTTCTTAAGCTCATCTATTTTTTTGTCATTTTCTGTTCTGGAGTCTCGAATCATGTCTTTCATTTTGCTCACCATCTCTATGGTTATCTGAGAAATAATTTCTGTTTTGAATTTTTCTAGAGCTTGATTGATCAGTTTTTTTACTTTCTGTACTGTGATTTCTGAGTGTCCTGGAGGTTCACTGTCTGATTTTTCATCCTCCTTTGGCCTACTGTTTGCCATTGGTGGATGGGAAGTCTGTTTTTGTGGCTTACTTAAGTGTTTTCTCATCTTTATTTTTGCTGTTGGGTTGCCCTTGATTCAATCTCTGGAACATTAAATCTTCCTGATATCGTTGCATCCCAGTCTTTGATTCTCTAATGACTTAATAGACATTCTCATTTTCATAATTGAGAAAACACCTCATCAAATCAATCCCTATCCTTTATCCCTGTCGATACAATCATGAACATAATAGGATCAATCACCACCCTTTATAGCCCGCCATGCCTCTGCAGAGTGCATCCAAGGACTGGCTCAATTAGGATCTAATAGCGGGGGGTGGGGGGGACGACGGGGGACCATGGGGCTTAGCAGTGCTCAGTGGCGCTCACGCGGCTACCCTTCTTGCACTGTGTTGGAGCCAATCACTGGTGCCCGCTCGAAACAGCAAGGCTCCAGAAGAGGCCCATAGTTCAGGCCCCGCCACACAGCAGAGGTGGCTCTAATATTTACATTATTTATCTGTCCATCCTTTCTTTTTTAACCTTATGTGTCTTGTATTTAAATGTGGCTTATAACTGGGTTGTTTTCTATCCATTTTGGCATTTGTTACTTCATTAGACTTTAAATTTTTTATCATTTATTTTAGATTTTTGACTTTTACCTTTCAGGATGGTTCTTCTTTTTTTGGGGGGGGGTTCAAGATAGCTTCTTACTATGTAATTGAGACAGACCTGGAACTCACTATGTAGCCCAGACTGGTCTCAAACTCACAGCGATCCTCCTGCCTCAGCCTCCCAACTGCTGGAATTACAGGTGTGCGCCACCACGCCCGGCTAGGATGGTTCTTTTTTTAATCATTCTATGTTAGTACTCTGTTCATTTGGAAGTTATAAAAGCTTTTACTTTTTTAGTGGTTTCCTAACCATTACAACAATTAGTTGACTTACTGGAGGGCAATATTATGTAACACTCTTTTATTCTCCTTGGGCAGTACAAGGTTCTTAGCAGCCATGGTATGTCCCTTACCAAGTAAATAAAACCCAAGGTTCTTGGGATCTGTTTTATCACTACTCTTTACATTGGCTGTTACTCTTGGTGTTCATGTAGTCTTCTGTGTTAAGCTGAAGAAGACATCACCAGTGCTGTTTTGTAGTCATTCGTTACCCTTCGTCCCACCCTGTGTTTCTCAACCTAAACATGGTATCATTTTGGTTTCTTCCAAAGAACCTGTTAATGTTCTTCAGTGTAGGTCTGCTCACAATGAATTCTTAATTTTTGTTTAGTGATATGTGTGATTTTTTTGGGAGGCTTTGTTGAACTTGTGGCTTGATGTCTTCAGTTTAGGAAAAATTTTGCCTGTGTCAGGTTTTGTTTTTGCTCATTTCCTCTCTTCTGGACTCCAGTTACACATATGTTAGACACATTGTCTTTTCTTCTCTATTTTCTGGTGGTTTTCCTTTTGAATATTTCTTTTGATCTGTCTTCCAGTTTGGCATCCCCTTCAGCTCTTTTTTTCCTTTCCTTATCTGCTTGGTTCCCAGTCCCTAAATTCTTACATTCTTGTATCTTTTGGGTTAGAACACTAAGTTCACAGCAGTGTTACCCTCCTTGATGACATTTGCATTTTAACTCTGAAGGCAGGACAGTGTGTGGATTATCCTTGTCAGAAGCAGTGGAAGATACCTGAAGCCAGGGCGGGAGAGGCTCCTCAGCTCTGGGCTGGTGTGGTGGGTTCCCTGTCTCTGGGCTGTGGCAGGAATAATTTTCTTCTCTGTGACCCCAGGTGTAACATTGCAAAGAGATTGCTGCTTAGGAAAAATACTCCTTGTCTCTGTCAGTCCTGTTGCCCTTGTTGAGATTACCCTGATCTATTCACACGTCTCCGTTTCATTTTTCCCCCCTAATTTGCCATTAAAACTATCCGCTGAATTCTTAGTATTTATTTTTATATTTTTTAGATCTAGAGTTTCTATGTGGTTTATTTTTATAGTTTCCAGTTTTCCTCTGAAGTTGTTTTGCCTCTGATCCCTTGAGCAGAGCAGCATGTGTTTCTGGAACATCCAACAGCTGGAAGTCCTGTGTGGCCGTTGCTTTTGACAATTATGGTGTTTTTCCCCAGTTGCAGCCTGTTTTCCTTCTCTGTCCTCCCGCACCTCCCCCTTTAAAATAGACTTTTCTTTCAAGTTTTCAGTTCTCAGTGAAAGTGATCAGGAAGAAGAGAGATTCTCAAATACCCCTCCTGTGTTGTTTTTAAAAAATTTATCAGCTTTTTTCTGGGTTTTGTTTGTCTCATCCTGTCTTCCTGTGCCTGCTTTTTTTTTTTTTTGCATGTTTTTTATTTGTGTGCCAGAAATTGTACTGAGGCTTAGGAGCATATCTTTTTCCAGTCAGAATTATAGGTTTGCTTCCACCAGAGGGCTGGGAACACTAACAAGTTGGAGTTGTTTCAGTCCAATTTCAGGGATTGACCTCATCAAGTAGACTTACAGTTAGGCCTTGTAGACTTTGGCTCACGTTTAATCTTTTCGTTTTTGTTCCTGTCTTGGTTATTGAACCCATAGCCTTTGTACTAAGCTACATCTCAGCCCTTTGTATTTTTTGAGACAAGTTCTTGCTAATTCATTATGAGCAGGTTTGAACTTGTGATACTCCTGCCTCAGCCTCCTAGAGTATAGATAGGATATCATTTAATTTTTTTTCTTTTTTTTTTTTAATGGTACAGGGGTGGAGGGGGCTGAAGTCAGGACCTTCCTTGCACTTGTGAGGCAGGCACTGAGGTAAATCCCTGGCCCGATCACATTTAATCTTAAAAGGAGTAGCACTTTGAGTACTAATTCAGAGCAGCCTTCGTCCTGTTTAACTCCCTCCATAGCCTGGGGCTTGGTTTAAAGCATCTATCAGCTGACCTTCCAGAATGTACCATCCTTCTACTAGAAAAGCAGATCTCAATGCCTTTGCCCTCCCTGTCTTGTTAGTTCTGTCTTCGCACAAATATTTCTGGTATTTTGTTCTGCTTTTCAAGTTGGCTTTAGCAGCTGAGGTGGCAGTTACCTAGTTGAGCATCACTCAAAGTTGAAATCCAGCCCCCCCCCCACAGGTTCAGCTTCCATATATATCACTAAAAATTAAGGAAATGCAAATCCTGACATATTGTCCACTGTACAGATAGGTGAAACGTGTGTGTGTTGTGCAATTTCCTTCTCTCAGGTTGTCTACGTCTTTTGTGATGAGTTATTGTGCATTTTAGTCAGTCTTGATGTTGATAGCTTATGTTGTGCATGTTTTCTTCCACTTTTTTTTAAATTTTGGATTAAGACTGTATCATATAAGGCTTTGTAGCTTTTCGGTTTTTAAATTTGTGTCTTTTATGGCTTCTTGGTTTCGTGTTTTAGATAGAAAGGCTTGTAGTGTACCAAGGACATGCTACATATTTTATACTTTTTTTATATGGAGCTCTTTGTTTTCTTCTTGAAGGTAGAGTGGGTTGAGACAGGGTCTCACTAGGCTGGCCTTGCACTCACAGTGATCCTCCACCTCAGCTCCTGAGTTCTGGGATTACAGGCAGGGGCCACCGTGCCCAGCTGTGTTTACTACTGGGTGTGTCAAAATATATGAAGTAGTGGACTTCTTTCCTAATGGGATAGGGTGAGAGGGCCGGTGCTGTGTGTTTCCCTCTGCTGGACAAGCTTTCTGAGCCTGGAAACAGCAGCCCCTTCAACAGTGAGGAGCCCCCTTGGTTCATCTATTCTTTCTCCACAGTCTGGCTTTGGGCAGGTCCTCCTGGCTCTGTAGAATGGGAAGGCGGCATCTGTCATCAGTACACATGTTGAGACCCATGATAATGGATAAGGCCCAATTTCTTTCTTGTAATTGGTTATTTTTGTCACAGTTAGAGCCGTCAGTCTAAAAATTCAAATGATGTTTGTCAGTCAAAACAAGAAATGGGAAAAGTGCCCAAATCATGTCTATAGAGGTCACAGTGGACATGTTGGGCACTATCCTTCTGATGCCTGCCAGGGGCATTATTTGGTGTCTGTGGGTGGCCTTTTGGCCTGAGCTGACCTTTCCCTCCCTGCAGGTGCAGCAGTATCGCGTGGCTATGACTGCCAAGGACTGTTCCATCATGATTGCGCTCTCCCCGTGTCTGCAGGATGCCAGGTGAGGCCTGCTGTTTGGTGGCGGAAGAGGAGGACTTAAGGACCCCCTAACAGGACCACTGTGTCCTTAGCTTGCTTGATATCATGGGGCTTTCAACCTCTTGCTCTCTAGAAGCTTGTAATCCAAAGACACTTCTGGAAGATAGCTAAAAACAATTGTTCTACTACATTTAAATTACTGTTTTGTAAGAAAATGCCCTAAGGGTATAGAAGCAATGTGGATAATGCAGCAAATTCCACTCAAGAAGCCCAAGCCCTGTCCAGCCCCGAGCTCTGCAGTGGTGCGGGTTCCCATGGGCCTTGCTCCTAGTTTTCTGCCAGGCCAGTGGGGTGTGGCAACTTCAGAACTGTTGCCATCATTTAAAAGCCTTAAAACAGCACATTCAGTGGTCTGCCTCCTCTTCTGATTTACAGCATGTTTGTAGCCTCTGTCCTGCATGTCATTATTCCCTATCGTCCCCTCTTCCGGCTTTCAGGCACCAGCTGAGCCTGATTAGCTCCTCACTGTAACGAGCCGGCATCTTCAGCATGGGTCTTCCAGGTGTCGATTGGAGCACATAGGACCTGATTGCACCATGTTTCTCTGATGTGTTCTTGGGTCAGGATGACCTCAGTCACTAGCTGCCAACCACCTATTTTCTGATGCTTTAGCTAAACAGTTTCCAGGAGTCCTGGTTCTGGCAGGCACAGGATTGTCCCCGCTGTGATGTGAAATCCTCAGGACATTTACAGGGCATCACTGAAGCACAGAAAAGGTGGTTCTGCTTAGTTTCCCCTAAGGAAAGAGCTCCAGCGCTTAGTTGGGAGAAGGCCCTCTGCTGGGAGCTGCCATATTAGGTGAGCAACCCACATCGATGGCCAAGGATCGGGCTGGGAGATGGATGCGTGATCGCAGGTGCTCAGGTGGAGCTTCAGGAAAGGCAGGGTCAGAGACCGTGTGTGTGGAGGCCCCAAAGGAAGATGAGGGATGCACTTCCCGCAGATCCTCCGTCTGCTATGCATGGAGAGCTGAGCACCAGGGTCCTGTTCGCACCTAGACCACCTGCCCCACACAAATCAGCTGTTGCCAAGTGAGAGGGTAGCATGTGCAGTTCTACACCCTGTACACAGCTCAGACTGGGGGCGGAGGCCCAGGAATCATCACCCACCAAGTGCCTACCTGCAGTCTTGTCCACAGGATGGAGGGAGATTGTCTCAGATGTCTCCTAAAAAGTAGGGGCACTTAGGCTTCCAACCCTATCAACAACCTCTTTTTCCGCTTCAGTGAATTTGGAAGGAAGTGAGGGGAAGAAAAGACACCTGATGACACCCACCGTGTCTGCTCTGGTGCACTGAGGACTGCTGTCCATCTCAGCTGCAGAATCCTCACAGGCCCAAACGCTATGTGGAACGTTGTCCTGTACATGATTTTTATTTGAAAATTTGCAAATTTTCTTCATGTGCAAAATAAGGAAATGGTTGAATTATGATACAGCTATGTGTTTATTAGGTGCCGGGGATCGAACTCGGGCCCTTGCGTTTGTGAGGCAGGTGGCGGAACCACGGAGTTAAATCCCTGGCCCCAGCTATGTGCTTATTAAATTTATAACATTGTGTTCCATTTGTCTTTTAAGACTTCATCCTGAACTGTTTCACCAAGTTCAGGAGTTAATTTCATGGTGCAGTAAGAAATGTACTGCTAGAGCTGGGCCATAGCTCAGTGGAAAGCGTCTGATTAGCCTACACCAGGCCCTGACTTCTGTTCCAGCACTGTTTAAAAAAAAAGTACTGATAATATAGGTAGGAGATAAAACAAAGACAAAGGAAAAATGTATAACAGAGAGCATTTTCAGTCTTTTTAAAGTGTTTTATAACATTGATTTAAGCTTGTTTTAGTTTTAAGATATATAAGCTTTGTGTTGCAAAAATCTTAGATTTGGGGGAAGTTAGATATACAGAAGTTAGCATTCTGTGACCAGGTTGAAGGAGGTATGAAGTTCTGAAGGGGCGTTGGAGGAGTAGCAGGACGTGAGGGAGCAGACCCTCAGAGGCTCCCCCACTGCTGCCCTTACGCATCTGTGCAGGGGACCTGAGTCACAGCCTCTGCATGTGCCTCACTGGCTGCCCTTTGAGGAAGGTGTTCAGTGCCTGCACTGGGTCTGGCCATGTCACTCAGGAAAGCAAGATAAACTTAGGGTGAGGTTCGTCCTGATCATCTTTAGATCCATGAGATACACCGTCAACCTGAGATGAAATTTAGATCCTTAACCTTTTACAGCTTGAGGACAGGTTGACTGTTTTAAACTTATCACATGAAGGCTTTTCACCATTGCTTTCTCTCCTGTCATAACTTGACGTTTGATGTTTATCTTCCTGTTGCTGTAGATATTTTAGGATTTTGGAACCACAGGGAGAGCTGCCTTCCCTGAATCCTGCTGCTGCTGTTGCTGCTCCTGATTTCGTTTTAAACAGTGTGGGCAGAGGCTGCAGCCTTGGCTTCTCTGCCTGTGCCCCTGGCCAGCCTCCCTGCTGGTCAATTCCCCAGAGAACAGCTGTCCTGGCAAGGCCAGCTCCCCTGCAACCACAAGTCCTTCGAGCCCCAGTGTCTAGGCTTCCAGAGGGACACATGGTTGTGACAGGAGAGCCGTATGCCCTGGGAGCCTCTTGCCTAGTCTCAGCCTTAGGGGCACTGAGGGGCAGATAAGCCCCTCCCACCAAAGGTGCCTGCTGGCCACTGACCTTGACTCACGTGGAGCTTCTGGTTGGGTCGACCAGATGGTTAAGACTTCATAGGCGCTGCTTGGAAGATCTTTTTTGATTTTATGTGACACCTTGTTGGGTGCTGCTTATGACCAAGAAACTGAGGTGTCCTATAAAATGTATATCCCTTGTACTGGTCCAGGCAGCTGGGCCGTCCCAGCCCAGATGCACTGGGCCCAAGTTTCAGCTACCAGGAATGCATGGTGTCTTTGGCTGCATGCAGTTTTTTCAGAAACTTAGGGTTGGTGAGGGCGAGCTGCAGGCTCCTTTCAACTTCCAAAGCTAGACTCAAAGTATTGATTTGTGCATGACTGATTTGTTGTTCTCTATTTAGGAGAGAGTAACAATCCCAGCAACTGAGTTAGGATTCATTTTTTCATATAAACAGGATTCTGGAAGTAGAATTGAGGCCTTGATTGGCATTCTCAGAGCAGGCTTTCTCTTAGGTCCTTGAAACTAGTGTCTCATTTTATTTTTAATGATTTCCAAATCGAGAACAGTAGTAAGCATGGAGAAGCCAGAACCCCAGAACACTTCTTTTGGGCTGAACTGAGTTTATAATTCACTTAGCCACTCGTTTGAATGCTATGTGCTCAGTTCTCTGAGCCATTTGGACTGCATAGCCATCCAGGCACCAGATTCGGAATTATTCTGAAAATGTTTTTACATGTAACTGTCCCTATTTTATTATAAGCACATGACACTTCTGATGTTTATAAAGGCTATAAAGCGAAGTCCTGAGAAACAAAATACAGAGCACCAAAGATATGGTTGGAGAGTAAAATGAGAAACCAGGTCTCTCTCCAGATGTGAAAAGCATAAAGGAGTCTACATTTCTCAGCAGACATGGGAAAGGCACATAAAGAGAAGTCTGTTCTCAGTGTTCATCCACTTGGCTGTCAAATAGCCAGATCTCCTTTTTTACTTTTTCTTAATGGTTTTGTAATCCTTGGCTCAGGATAAAGTGACTTTTTCAACATTTCATTTAGACTGCTGGGCTATGGGGACTATCGCTCTCGAATTCCACATAATGGCTTTTCCATCGTGCAGTCCCTCAGCGCCATGGGCGGGTGTGGAGTGGTGCGTTGGCCTGTGTCACAGTAAGCAGTCACCTGGCAGAGGCTTTGTGTGTTAGTGCTTCTGGCTGACAGAGACAAAAACACAGCACACCCAGACGCACAGACTGAGTGCTGTTCATGAGCTGGTGTGTGATTGCTGGAACGTCTGTATTCTGAAATTGCTTTCTGCCTTGCAGCTCTGATCAGAGGCTCGTCGTCCCCTCCTCGAGGTCCCGGCTGGCCTTCTCTGTGTCCGTACTGGACCTGGACCTCAAGCCGTATGAGAGCATCCCTCACCAGTACAAACTAGACGCCAAGATAGTCAACTATTACTCAAAGACTGTGCATGCCAAAGATGACACTGTCATGTCGACTCGGTTCAAGGAGAGTGAAGATTGCACATTAGTTCTCCATAAGGTCTAACTTTCCCCCTGCAATGTCTTTGAAATTTGAATGTGAAAGTTGAATGATTGATAGAACTATTTCCTGTTGTACTGGATAACTTCTCGGTGTGAATGTTTTGCTTTTAACCCTTGTTGAGGTGAGACTGCCTCTGGAGACATGAAATTGAAGAGCACTAGAAACATCTTCCAGGACAAGGAATGTAGGATGTGAGTGCCACATCCCAGGAAGCCACTCATGTTCTTAAAATGAAGTGTCCGTTAAGCCCTGGGAAGCATCCTGGGTAGTTCTTCCTTCCAACCAGGGCTCGTGTCTAACTCTCTAATGCGAAAAGCCTTATCAGATGACACAAGGTTTGGATCTCCTACTACCAGACTCCTGATATAGAAAACTTGAATTGTCATGAGCATCTTATAGTTTGGACTTTTGACAAAACATGGATACTACTGGAACTTTCTCAGCTGTTACTGGTCACCTTTTCAGTGCGAGCCACAAATCAACACAGGCTTTGGGTGGGTCCCTGCTGCTGAGTGACCAGGGGTTAGTTCGGATGTCGATTCTGAGTGGTGTAGACTCAGGGTCCCTTTGGAGGTGCCGAAGCCCATGGCTCCTGAAAGGTCAGTGGGGAGCATGAGACTCAGGTCAGGATGGACACCACTCACATGAGCATTGACTTTAGTTTTGCTTTAGGGTCTTATTTTTAACTCTAGGGGGAGATGAGGCATTCTTTCCTACCTGACATTGCTGCTGTGGAAGCTGGAAGCAGAGCTGTAACTCGCGGAGTTGCTGGGGTGGGTGTGCAGACAGCCTAGTTGTCCTAACGCTTAGTCTCCCTGGTGGTCAAGGACTAAGGGTTCCCTACCTCCCTGCCACGTTCCTCCCTGGGCTTGCCTTGAGGTGCAGCAGGCGTGTGGGCCCGGGGCCTTGCTGTTCCTGCTGGGGTGCAGGAGGCCCTGCTTCTGGAAGATGAACAGCTCCCAGCTTGCACGAGAGGGTTCTTGTTGGGGTCACCAAAAGTGTACCTGGCTGCTATGAAATCATTGGGAATTTTGGCTTCATTTTTTTTTCTTCCCTATGGTAGGTTGTACAGACTATTTATATCATCATTTTGAGGGACTAATGAAGGCTTATTGTAACATATTATATTAATGAAACCATGAAATTGTATGAAAATGCTACATGAAAAATGAAAAATATTTTGCTGATTGTAAATTTTTGTGGGAAATTTTGTGATAGATAACTTGAAAATTATACTTGTTTGATTGAATCAAGATAACTCTTCTAGAATTTATTTTGAATTGTCTTGATATTTCTAACTTTATTCTATATTCAGAGATACAAAAAGATACTTATTCAACCAGGTGTGGTGGTGCCTGTCATCCTAACACCGTCATCCTAGCAACGTGGGAGGCTGAGGCAGGAGAATCGTAAGTTTGAGCTCAGCCTGGGCAGTTTAACAAGACTACTTCTCAGAATAACGAAAGGGGCTAGGGATGTAGCTTAGCGCTGTCTGGGTTCAATAACAGGCACTACACCAAAACAAATACCCAAAATGTAGGCGTTTGGACATCCTGTTTGCCTGTTTATGTGGTGTGTTTTGGCACTAGGGACTTTGGAGGCTCCACCTAACGTGTGTGAAGCTCGTACTCTCCAGGAGGAAGGGAATGGACTCAGCATTGTTTTGACCCTGGGTGGTTTGCTGTTCCAGCCTGGGACTCAGGGGCCTCACCTGCGTCAGCTCTGCCCGGAGCCTGGGTTGTGGGGAGGAGAGAGAAAGGACCCCCCCACCCCCAACACACACAGTCCTGGTCCCCACAGACCTGCTGCTCTGTGCGCCTGTGATGTGAGGACTCTCACTGGTCCTAGAATGTTGTAACAGGCCCCTGCACACTCAGTTCGTTGAGGCCTTTTGAAAGCAGCAGGCTGACTTCCTCTGTGGAGGAGGAGGGATGTCAGGACACGCCGACATGCTGCTGTGCAGACCAGGAGGCAGGAGGCAGGTGTGGCACCTCTGGTCCAAGGAATGCTGAAGAAATGGAGCTCCACAGGCGCCTACCTCCAAGAGGTCTGGTGCGGGAGCCAGGCAGGTGGTCCCTCCAAGCTGGCCTGTGTGGCTGTCATCAGGGTGACTGTGTGGGGGCGAGGGGGTGGTCCAGCTCTTCTGTACCTGTCCAGGGGCCGACAGCCACACTTAGTACATTTTCCCAAATGTTAAATTTACTAAAAACGAAACAAAAGTATACTTGTCATCACTGACATTTTGTCAATTTTATCGCACGTTAAATAGCTACACAGGTGGCGTCTTTTGAGGGTGTGGCTTCTACGTGGCAAAGAGCAAACGTTCGTGCTCACTGAGTCACAGGGTGTTTGGCACACGTCTTATTCCTCCTGTCCGCCCTTTGGGAACTAAGCATTCCCTGTCTGGAGCAATCTTATCAGGCTTTCAACAGCAGCCTCGATTCCAAGCACTCTTAGCAGGGTCCGGAAGCACAGAGGAGCAGTTTCAATGACTCTGTTCTTGTCCAGCTCCAGGGCTGTGAAGCAAACACAAATCAGTTAAGAAACCTCTGGTGTCACCGAGTCTCACCCTTCCCAGCGAGCCACACAGAAGTGGGGGTGCCAGAGCCACTGGCTGCTGAGGAAGGGGCCGCGCCTGTGCTTCCAGGCGGAGACCGCTCCTACCTGCTCTCAGCCTGGGAGGCCTGAGGTTGGGGGATCCCTTCTCACATGCTTTTTGATTTACTGGTAAATATTATGAAAACTGACACACAAAGATTTTCAACTTTAGATTCTTCCCGTGTAAAACCAGATGAAGCAGCTAAACAGCTTGCTTTGTTGGGCATATTGAGAAGTCTGCTGGGAAGGACAACCATGCCCAGAAGTCCTACCTCGCTGAGGAATTTTGGTAAGAAGATCCAGCAGTGGTGAAACCTTCCCTTCTTCATCTATTTGAATCCTCCAAACAATCATCAATTCAAACCTGTGGGGGGGGCAGATTTTTGAAACTTGGTTTTAAAAGATTAACTTTGTCAACTGTTGTGGCACATGCCTTTGATTCCAGCTATCTGGGAGACTGATGCAGGAGGATCACAAGGTCAAGCTCAGCCTGGGACATTTAGGAACTTAGTAGTGAGATCCTGTCTCTAAAAGAAAAAAATAGGCAAGAAAGGGCTGGAGGTGTAGCCCAGTCATACAGTGCTTGCCCATCATGCACAAGGTTCAGTCTGCAGCACTGTTAGCACTTGGTCTCCGTGCTGGGCTCCCTACTCCTAAAGATACTGCCCACGGAGAAAGAAAACATGGTCAGTTTCACAGGACAGTGGGAACAGGACCAGGAACCGTGGGAGCTGCTGCTCTGTACAGCATCAGGAACTTCTGTACCACTGGTAGGAATGTGGATAACCCACCTTGAAGATAATCTGGCTGTGACAGCCACACAAACACCTGCTCCATGGCACAGGAATCTCATCTCTTGGGTAACTGAGCCCAGTAGAAGCCTATGCGCCAGAAGAAGGGACCAGCAGTGGAGAACACGGAGGCCGCCACAGGACAAAGGCAGGTCCTAGAAGCCTGCGTAAGGGAGACGCCGCGTGACAGCTTGAAAGCTGTATAGTCAGGGTTCTTCCACTGGTTCTGAAGCAGATGTACAGGTGCACACTGCACTCGCAGAGGCAGAGGATGAGGCAGGAGAGTGGCTCTGGGCCTGGGGTGGGGGAGTCTGGAGCCTGCTGACTCCATCTCTGTGGAGCTCTAGCCCTCAGCCCACCTTCCGCCTTCCCATGTCTTCAGTAATAGGACACCCTGCCTTCTCCCAGTGCCCTGCAGAGGCAGAGGCTTCCGAAGGAGCCAAGGGAGGACTGTCACTCGCTGGTCCCACACTGGCACTTCCCTTCTGCGGCCCAGCGCCCCTCACACATTCCCGCAGATACTCCCTCCGCTCCCACACTCACTAGATACCTGCTGAGATTGCTCCCGTGGACGGTCTTTCACCTTCATTAGCTGTCTTCTGTTTACTTTCTACTGCTAAGCCTTGTTTTACAGACTCACCCTGGGCAGCTGGCACTGTGGATCCCCATGCAGCGGGAACAGGGCCCCTCTGGGAGGTGCACTACGTCTGGGTACTTGTCCTGAGTGGAGAAGAAATGATCACAGTTGGAGCCATTGGGAGAGCAAGGGGTGGCAGGGCACAGGGATGCTTTTCCGGGGTACTGGCTAAAAATCGGGTGAAGCTTCCATCACTGTGAGCCCCACGATGACCATAATCCAGAGGCCTCTGCAACGCTCCCGGAAGGACAGTCTCAGCCCGAGACGTGGTCAAACTGGGACATGGTGACAGCATGTTTTTGGGCTGCAGATACTTGCTGGATCAAACCAGCTTAGCGCCATCAAAGGAGGTTGTGTGGGGACAAAGACATGTCACAAGTTTGAAGGAAGCAACCCCTCAGAGCTGCTGCCAGTGTGGGAGCCCTTGCCACAGCAACAGCACATCCAGCACAGACCCGGGGTGGGTCTGGGGTAAGCTTACAGATGATTGCTAATTCCAGCAAAATCCCAGTTTGGAGGGGAAAATGTATACGTAAGTTATTTAAGTGGAAAGTGCTGGTTGATTTTTAAACCTCAGTCCCCTCTAAATTAATAACAACTGTTTAAGGAACATAAAGGGGAGCGTGTGAACGTGGCAGTTTAGCTTCCAGGCTGTGCTTGGCTGCAGCCCATGCGACTCCAGGGACAGCTGGGGCTTGGGCCGGCTCCAGTGTGGGGCCTGAGGCTCGGGCTCCAAGTACCAGGGAGCAGATCTCTGCTTTCCCAGGCGAGCGAAAGGAAGGTTTAACTTAGATGTTTCCACTAGGAAAGTATATTCCATTTAGTTTTCACAATGAAGACAAAAGTAGAAATGCTGACATTAGGAAGAAGTCACATTCAATACGCAGAGGTTTCTGAGGCAATTTATATAAGCTATAAATAAGAATTTTGTGTAAGTTTCTGAAGGACTATAGACAGGTTAATAGCATTGCACCAGTTATCCAGAGTCATTGACCTGCCTGGTGATCTCCACTCCGGGGCACGGAAGAAAGTGGGAAGGAAGCAAACACAGGCTGATAGAACAGCCCAACTGGACGACCCAAGAGTAGCAGTCACTGATCAGTAGAAATGCTGTCATAAAGGCTGACAGGAGCACAGGTAGTTCTGAGGGATAGTGGGCTTGAGGTCACTCTCAGGATCAGCACATTGCAACAGCAGTTTACAAGTTTTGGGTATAGCTGTGACACTAATAAAAGATGACCAAATCAAGCTGGAAATCAAGCTGGGTATGGTGGTGCACACTTGTAATCCTAGCTACTTCTGAGGTTGAGGCAGGATGGTGGCAAGTTCAAGGCCAGCCTGTTCCACTTAGCCAAACCTTATCTCCTAAGTAGGGTCAGGGAGAGAGCTCAATGCTACCTGGGTCAATCCCCAGTATGTAAAGATGGACAAACTTTGACAAGGGTGACATAGATGCAATATGTTTTAGGAGACTTTTCATGAAAAGTTGTTACACACACAAAAGTTTAATAAGAAAACTATAAACCTGACCTGGAAAGCTCCTGGCCAGGCACGTGATGGGCAGTGTTGGACCTGTGGCTCTTTCTAGTGCCCCAGGGTTGCTCTCTACCCAGAGACAGCACCTGGAAGCTGTGCTGTGGAGGTGGTCTTGCTGGCACTGTGCACACTGATCAGCAGCAGGCACTGGCACCTCCCCAGGGAGCCCACTCTCAGTGCCTCTGAGGGAGACAGGCTATGATTCAGATGGCTGTTTTCTCAGCTGCTTGCCATATGTGGGAAATTGGCAGAAATCTCCTGGTGTTTCAGATGGAAAGATGGTGGCTGTAGGGAGACTGGCCATTTGATATCCAGCCCATGTCACACCTGCTGCCCGTAGTGCTGCTGCAGTGGCTACTGGGTATGAGTCGTGATGACATGGTGAGGAGGGCAGTGCTAAAGGAGTGGGACCACGTTTGATGAAATGGGATCCTTGGATCCTGTGTACATTGTGGGTGTCCACAGATCTGTTTATCTTTGGAAAGATGGTAAAGTCAAGATGAATTATGCCTGGCTAATTTAGTGATTTTTCTGAAAAACACTGAGAAATAATTCATGTAATAACCAACTCAAGGACAGTGATACCTCAGTTTTCAAATGGCTCCAAGCTAGACATTTTAACAGTGAAGTTAGAAAAAAATCCGCTCGGTGTTTATAACTTTGCTCGTTAGTCAAACTGAAAATCCAACTTGAAAAAACCTCTATGGGCCGAGAGTGAGTCTTGCTGTGGACACAAAGAGGTGACACTTCAGTCTAAGCAGTGCCACTCTCCCCAAACATAGAGCACTTGCATGAGTGCGTTAAAGCACTCCCCACTGTGCTTTTTCAAAAGTAAAATCTTGCAACCATGGCTTCACAGAAAGTTAGTTAATAACACCAGTGAAGTTAAGTGGAAAACTCTGAGAACCACAATAGAAAGACAGAAATCATTACAAAATTTAAGTCCTGGAAAAATGAATTTATAAGTTTAAGTTTTGGGTCTCAGAACCGATTATTTGGTTTTCCATTCTTTTTTCCCCCCATTATTTCTTATGGGAAAAATATGTTCAGTGCTTAAACTTTTTGGTGTTTGAACACAAATTTAGGCAAATGTTTTTTTTGTTGTTGTTGTTTTGTTTTGGTACTGGGGATTGAACTTGAGTCCTTGCACTTGCCAGGCAGGCAGCAAAACCACTGAGCTAAATCCCCGGCCCTGAACACAAATTCAGAATGACTTGAATTTGACAACTGTATTATAATTCAGTGAGTTTTGGTATATTTTCAAGGTAATGAACCTGCTGCCTAGTGCTGCTGCAGTGGCTACTGGGTATGAGTCGTGATGACATGGTGAGGAGGGCAGTGCTAAAGGAGTGGGACCACGTTTGATGAAATGGGATCCTTGGATCCTGTGTACATTGTGGGTGTCCACAGATCTGTTTATCTTTGGAAAGATGGTAAAGTCAAGATGAATTATGCCTGGCTAATTTAGTGATTTTTCTGAAAAACACTGAGAAATAATTCATGTAATAACCAACTCAAGGACAGTGATACCTCAGTTTTCAAATGGCTCCAAGCTAGACATTTTAACAGTGAAGTTAGAAAAAAATCCGCTCGGTGTTTATAACTTTGCTCGTTAGTCAAACTGAAAATCCAACTTGAAAAAACCTCTATGGGCCGAGAGTGAGTCTTGCTGTGGACACAAAGAGGTGACACTTCAGTCTAAGCAGTGCCACTCTCCCCAAACATAGAGCACTTGCATGAGTGCGTTAAAGCACTCCCCACTGTGCTTTTTCAAAAGTAAAATCTTGCAACCATGGCTTCACAGAAAGTTAGTTAATAACACCAGTGAAGTTAAGTGGAAAACTCTGAGAACCACAATAGAAAGACAGAAATCATTACAAAATTTAAGTCCTGGAAAAATGAATTTATAAGTTTAAGTTTTGGGTCTCAGAACCGATTATTTGGTTTTCCATTCTTTTTTCCCCCCATTATTTCTTATGGGAAAAATATGTTCAGTGCTTAAACTTTTTGGTGTTTGAACACAAATTTAGGCAAATGTTTTTTTTGTTGTTGTTGTTTTGTTTTGGTACTGGGGATTGAACTTGAGTCCTTGCACTTGCCAGGCAGGCAGCAAAACCACTGAGCTAAATCCCCGGCCCTGAACACAAATTCAGAATGACTTGAATTTGACAACTGTATTATAATTCAGTGAGTTTTGGTATATTTTCAAGGTAATGCAATCTTACGACTTTTTTATTCCTGCATGTTTTCATCACCCCATAAAGAGACCCCATACCCCCCTCAGTTGTTGACTCCAGCCATATGCAATCATTAGTCTGCTTCCTGTCTGAAGATTTCCCTGTTCTGGCCATTTTACACGAGTATTGTGTGTGTGGCTCCTTTCACGTAGCATCTTTTCAAGGCTCATCTACAGTAAGCAGGGATCTGTATCCCATTCCTTTCCATTGCCAAGAAGCACTCCTTTGTATGAGTATTTACCACATTTTATTCAACTAATGATGGTCTTTACTTTGTGGTACCAGGAGCAACAATGCTGTGGACATCTGCGTGCAGGTTTTCGTGTGAACATCTGATTTCAGTGCCCTTGGTTACCTGCCCAGGAGTGGAACTGCTGTGATGCTTGGATAACCATCTCAGGGCGGCAGACTGTCTCCCACAGTGGCCACATTGTTCTTACAGGGCCCACTAGCAGGGCGTGAGAGTCCAAATTCACATCTTTGCCATCCATTCCCCACCTCTATGCTTAAAAATCATAGCCACCCTAGTAATGCGAGGTGATTTCTCATTGTGGTTTTGACTTTCATTTCCCTTGTGTGTTTACTGGGCAGTTGTATTCCAATCTTGTCTATTGGGCCCTTTGCCTATTCAATTAAGTTATTCTTTTCTATTATGAAGCAGTAATAGTCTTTTATATATTTCAGATGTAAGTCATTTATCAGATAAATAATGTTTAAAACTGTTCTCCCTCTGTGACTTGTGTTTTTATTTTCTCAATGGTGTTATCTGAAGTACGGTTTTTAATTTTGATGAAGTCCAGTTTGTTTTGTGTTTCTGACTGTGCTTTTGGTGTCATAGCTGAGAAACCACTGCCTAATCCGGTGTCAGAGATTTATATCTGTGTTTTACTTCTAAGAGCTTTTCATTTTTGGCTCTTAAAATTAGGTCTTTAGCCTATTTTTAAAGCTAATTTTGTATGTCGTATGCTTCATTGTTTTTGGCTGTGAATATTGCGCTTGCCCAATACCATTTGTGGGAAAGACTGCTCCTTCATTTGTCTCCACTCCATTCACATTTTAATAACTATTTTGAAGACTAGCTTGGCCCATGGAGAAGTGAGCTCAGTGATCTCACACCGTGGGGTAAGTCTGTCAGGGTCAGGCAACTAGATATCCTTGTGTAAAACTGAACCCGAGTGCCCACCTCACTTCATATAAAACTAGACTGAAGTATGGAAATAGATATAAATGTAGGAGCTGAAACCATAAGCTTCTGCAAGAAGCAACAGTAAGATATCTTTGTAAACTTGGTTTGCCAAAATTTCAGATAC